GACCACGGACCGGTTTGATTTCCTGTGCCGGTGCCTGGCTTTGTCCTCAGCCTCCAGCACCTGCTGCGTCTTGATGGAGCTCTGGCTGAACGCACGATCTAGGAAAAAAAACAGGAGACCAGTGAGTAGAACAAAAGAGATTTGGTTTGAAGAAAGAGCGGATAGGACAGGCCTCAAAGAACCAAATGCTACTGTAAGCTCTCTACTCTCTTAAGTATTGGTTGATAATTAGATTATAGTGACATTCTAGTCAAGACCAAATAAAAGTTGAACCAGGGTAAGCAGCTATTGGTAGAGAACTATTGGTAGGGTGAAGCCAGGGCAAAATCTGGACTTTGCTAGATTCTTAGGCACCTCAGGATTACTTTTCTGGCAGAATATAGTTCAGGGGTAGTCAACTTTGGCTCTTTTATGACTCGTGGACTTCAACTCCCAGAATTCCTGAGCCAGCACAGCTGGCTCAGGAATTCTGGGAGTTGAAGTCCACGAGTCATAAAAGAGCCAAGGTTGACTACCCCTGATATAGTTTATTGGCCGAACAAATAGACTCAAATGTTCAGTGGTTGGCAACCATATCTACTATTTACAAGTCTAGACTATTCAAGATGTTGCTAAGGAATACCCTTCCTCTGAACTTTCAGGAGGAACAACTGCTTCCTGGGTTATTCCAAGAGGCCATTTGCTCTCTGATTTCCAGAATATTTGTCTCTAGAAAACCCATAGGTTAATTCTGTCAGGATCGGAATTTGATCTTTGGAAATGATTTCCCTGGTCAATTTAAAGAGATTCATTCAACTATGATAGTGGGCAATATGTCAAAGGGCCCAGGAAGGATATGTCAAAGAATCACAGCTGCCTTCTGGTCCTTGGCACATCAGAAGGGCACTATAAATAACGTTCTACCAAATGTCTGCCTTGGGGAGCCAACACAGATCTCTTGTCAGATCATGTCTGCTTTAGATGGGTTGCAGAGAGATTTCTAGAAACTGAGGTTCTTAACGGGCATGGCGCATTTTAGTGTGTGTGAGGAAATGTGATTATATTTCATAACATACTAATACATGGAAAATGAATTCCAAATAAACCAGTGAAAAAATTGAAAATGAGGGCGTAATTACAAGCAATGATAGCTATGGGGCACAGTATAAAATATCAAACTTCTGCATTACAAAAAAAAAAAGCTTAATTGTTTCTATTGATCAATCTTTAATGCAGGGCCCTGTTGTCCTAGCTTCTTCAAATCCTATCCTTTATTTTTGAAGATGTTATCTACTATTTGCCCTAAACCTGGTAAATCTGATCGCCCCAATTCTAATGACTAGAAAGTTGCTTTAAAAGCAAGCAAACACTAGAACTGATGGTAAATTTATTCTAAAAATTGACTTCGGCACAGAAGCCTGAGCAATCATGTTTGGTTTTTTTTAACATCGCTAATCAGCATTGCAGCTTTTGTTGCTAACATAAAAAGCTGGTGTTTTTAAAGCTCTGTCTGGAAAGAGGGGAAATAAGTTTAATCAGACTGCAATGCACGCTCTTCCAAATGAAGTCCGCTGCCTAAAAATATCACATCTGTCTTCTCGAGTGGCTTATTGCTCCTTTTCTATTGCTATGCAGAATTGTAGAATACACAAGCGTTGGGAGTAAGTTTCTTTGGGATAAAGCTAAGGAAAGGAATCGGGGAGACTAAGGGCAGATATTAAATGGGGGAAGGGAATCAGGGGAATGAGGGCTGGCTTCAATAGGATCATCTTCCCCTACAGAAAGAGTTTAGATGTGATTCCCTAGGAAACCAAGGAAGAGATGGGGAGTGGCGGAGTGGTAGGGTTGGTCCCACGGGGGGGGGGGCTGGGCACCCACCATTTATGTTCGACCCGTCCCACGAGGCAGAAGCAGGGCTCCCCCCGGGGGGAGTTGGTCACGCAGAGAGCCAGGCTGGCCAGCAGCTGCCCTGTGGGGCGGAGACAGATAGAGACTTTGGGGGGGTGGGGGGGTGAGGAAGTGGCAGGAAAATCACAAGGCCAGCACAGATCAGGAAGGCAGGGGGGTGGTATGAAGCCAATCACAGACCAGAAAGGTTAAGATGAAGTTGGCACAGATTAGGTGGGAAGAGGGAATCAGACAGTATCATGTGCGGGTGGGGTTAGTGCATGGAGGGTTGGACATACGAAGGGCAACGGGGCAGGAAAGAAAAAAAGAAGAGAAGAGAGGGGTGAATATTGAAGACCCAAAATCTGCTCCTGCAAAGGTCCTTCAAAGGAAAGAGGCAGCTAAAGAGGCTTTTGGGAGGGAGACACTAATTGCATGACCTGTTGCTCTAGATTACTCCTCTCTTAAGTCAGATAGGCTAATAACCTCTTCTCCCTCTGCTTATTTCTGGAGTTAAGAATCACCAGAATATCCTGCCATTCAATAATGAATAAGGTCGAAAAAGGGACATTGTAGGTCAACCTCTCTGGACTGGAACCTACGCCTTGTTCATCTGTTGCATTAGCACAAAGGTGAGGAACGATGGCCCCTTTATGAGTTGTGGACTTCAACTCAGGAATTCTGGAAGTTGAAGTCCACAAGTCATAGAAAGGCCACAGTCCCCCAACCCCTGCATTAGCAGGATATTTAGCGCAAAGCAGATGATTTCTTATTTAAAGAAGGGAAGAGAGCAGGCGAGGCCAGGAGAGGCACGGACGTACCATAGTCAGGAATGAATCCATTGCCCCTCTTCAGCACCAGTCGTATTCGGCTCCCACCACTGCGGATGTGTTCCACCGCCTGAGCATGCGTCATTCCTGCTGTGGACTCCCCGTTGATTTCCACCAGCTGGTCGCTCACCTGTCACAGTGTTTTAGCATGAAAAAGCCACCATCCCCACAAACGGGTTGTGGGTGTGTGCCAAGTTTTTCCCAAAGCATCTCCATATATTTTCAAACTTTTAGTCACAAATGTTGAGAGCTACAGTAGAACAGGTAGTTGTCATTGCAACAGTGATGGGGGAAAAAAAACAACTTTCAATCAATGCTCACATTTATGACCTTCACGGGTCTGTAAAGCAGTTTTAGATCGTAAGGGCAGTTGCAGTTTCACTGCTTCACAACAGAGTTGCTGGTCCCGATTGTGATCACTAAACAAAGACAGCCTGTATATTTTTGTCAGATTCAGCGCTGGATACGAAATTTTTGTGTGTATTAAATATTCACAGTTGTATTTACAGAGAGCTCAGACTGTTTTGCTTATTGCAAAATTATTCTAGAATACATTGGGAAGGCAAGTATATTACCCTTGTATTTCAGATGGAAACTTGTGGAATAATTACCTCCTTAAAATTGCTAAGCGGTGATAAGGTAAGGTTGGAACTGGGTATGGCTGAGATAAGATTAGAAACTAACTCACAAATCACATTCTTAAGGTGAAACTTCACATTGCACCATTAAATATACACATGGATTGTCGAGTGGTACGTAAAAGAAGAGAATCTGATCAAGTCTATCAATCATTTGATAGCTATGTGGGGGGCTATTAAGCTGTTACTTTTGAAGCTGCTGCTGTTGCTAGTAAGGGCACATGAGCCAAACTTTTGTATTTCGTTGGTGAATATTGTGTTAGAAGTAATAGTGAAAAGTGAGCAAAACGTGAATTGAGTAAACGAAAGTTATATATTTGTTATATATTTATTCAGTTCTAGGTACCCAGCAGTATATATTCCATCTATTAAAAGAAAGGTATAAGTTTTTAAAAATCCAAATTAGCTTCAAGGACTTGCATGCTTTGGTGTGATAAAGGGTGTTATAGTGGTAATCCTCAAAAAAAGAAGTTCTGCTCATAGTCCGCATCAGAGATGGGAACTGCTATTTCTGACATCCCTTTTTGTTTGAAGAAAATTGGGAAATATGCTGGTGTACAAGCACAGACTTATATGGGTGCCTTAAACTATTCCAGCATTTTACATGCTAAGGCAGGGCTTTTCAACCTTTTCACCCATTGCACCACTTTTAGGATATGGCAACATCCGAGCACCACCAGTCACCTAGCAAGGTGTCAAAAACTTGACCAAAAAAAAGGGGGGGGAGTGATGAAGTACAGGTAGTCTTCGACTTACAACAGTTCACTTAGTGACTGTTCGAAGTTACAATGGCACTGAAAAAGTGGCCCCCAAGCCACAGCCGAGCAAGATACCTGCCTGCCCACCTGGTGGCGCTCTTCCTCCTCATTGTTGTGAGCATTTCTGTTGAGGATTGGCAGCGGGGGTGGGGGTTTGGATTTTATTCCCCCCGTCTGCGGGGTGGTTGCAGCAGGTTTTGGTCACTTCACATGACCCTGGGACACTGTGACCGTCATAAATATGAATCAGTTGCCAAGCATCTGAATGTAAATCACAAGACCCTGGAGATGCTGCAACATTCCAGCTGATCGGCGCTTCTTCTGGGCTCAGCAGAAGTGCCAGGATCAGCGACGAGCTCCAGCTGGAGCCTGGTGCTGATCCTGGCGCTTCCGCTGAGCCCTGACAGCCCTGCAGCTCCAGCCATCTCTCACTCAGGCTTGTGCGGTGCTGCCACCGGTTCAGCTCATTCCCCTCACCCGCTACCACTTTTCTAGGATGGTCGCGTACCACCTGCCAGGTGCCAATGTACCACAGGTGGTACCCGTACCACTGGTTGAAAAGCCTTATGCTAAGGAAGAACAAATGGGGTCTAAAGGAACTGAAGCTCAGATAAATGGTCTGAATCGGTGGACTCCTTGGTGTTAATCTGAGCTTGGTTGTTTGGGTTGAATGAATATGGCTAAAATAGCCGGCTATGTTACGAGTGTCTTTTGAAAGAATGGAGAAAAGGAAAATGGAAGGAGGAGAGGAAAAAGAGAATTTTATTGCATGATGCCATACAATTTATAGTAGCCTTCCCCAATTTTGGCACCCTCCAGATGTGTGAACTTCAACTGACAGAATTATCTGTAATGGCTCATCTGGATGGAAAATTCTGGGAATTTTTTTTTTCTTTTGACAAATGGTAGGCACCAGGGAAGACTCATGTATAATAACTTACATTATTAGAACTAGATACTATACATAGGTTCCCTTGCCAAGTAATATAGAACTGGAAGGCTGTCTGCTCTGCTTGATCCAGCCTATGTTCTAGAATGCTAGATTGTACAACAGCTAAAGTTTCGGGGATGTGTGAGCGAGAAAGTCATTTTTGTCTGCAAGTCTCAACAAGTTTTCTAAAACCAATTCACATCTGCCTGGCCTCAGCAACTTTGCATTGGTGCTCATTTCCTGAGAACATCACATACCTGAATCTTGCCACATTGCTGGGCTGGCCCACCTTCCATAAGAGCTAAGACGTAGATGTCCATATTATATTCACTTCCGCCCCTTAGACTGAATCCGAAGCCACTGGGCCCTCGTAGCAGTTCCACGGAATATTGGCCAGACTCCTGTGGAGCAGGGAGAGATCACAATCCAGAGAAGACGGCTGAGCCAATGTCGTTTCTTAAAACAACAGCAACCACAGAAAAACTATGTAAATAAGAAAACTATTTTAGGGGCCAAACTATCTCTTGCAATGGAAACCACTGAAGTATCCTGCAATCTGTACATTCACAAGAAACATTCAATACATAGGTAATGACACATTGTCTGTACTCAAGAAAAAGTCATGGAGGTGCCGGTAGTTACATCTTTCAAAATAAAAAAAAATGTTTCTAAAGTTACTGCTGTACTGAAAATAGGCTAGAACAGTCATGTCAAACTCGCGACGTCACGTGACATCGCGCAACGTATCTGGAGAGTTTTACCATTGCCAGCATTCTGGGGAATTCTGGGAGTTGAAGTCTATTCATCTTAAAGATGCTGAGAAACACTAGGCTAGAACCCACCTCACAGATATTGTACATCATCTGATTATTCCCAGCAGGATTGTGAAAACTGAATCTAGTGAAAAATACAATTTGGTATGCTTTAAAATGGAAAAGAATGTCATCTGTGGCAACAGCATTATGTTTTTATTTTACCAATTTGTTGTTTTAAACATACCTGCCTCAACCTTAAAAGATTCTAGATTGGTTGAGGTGCACTGCCAATAATCATTTAATGCTGGAGCCATATGTGAACAATACTAAGGCATCTGAGCTGGATCACAATTGAACACAAATAACTATGAGTTCCTTCACTATGAATAAGATCTGATCTGAATTACAGGATAACAACTTTAATACCCTTTATTAAATTACACCCATTGGCTTTTCTGCCTCATGCAACACAAAAGGAAGACAATATTCAACCAATGTAATGAGGAAGTGGTTGAGCTCTAAAGACAATTCTGGTCCACCGCAAATAAAGGGACAAGCATTCCTTACAATTAACTAGGGACCACAAAGGCCAACCAGGGGAATAAATTGTGTTTGACTGATTACAGAGTTTGCAGAACCATTCCCAAGCTCCTGCTGCCTGACCAGCAGCAGCTAGCAAGCCTCCATGTCTGTCTGTCTATAAGTCATCTTAGCCTTCCCCAGTGTATGCTTTCAGATGGATTGGGAATACCCAAACTTCCAGGAATAGTGGATTCAAAACATTTGAAAGGAATCAAGCTAGGGAAAGCTGAGCCAGAAATTTGGATTTCTCATTTAAAAATGTAATGGATTCCTAGAAACAAACTGAGTTAAAAAATCCAAGTGTATACACAGAGTCTTGGACTCAATGGAACATGCTAAACGTGTAACACAGGTTGTTAGATTTTTAGCCCAACTAACAGAAAACATTTATTGTGCTTCCATTAGATTCTTAAGTTTTAATGAATCTTTAGAAGAAATCTATGCTAGTTGAGTAGCATTTAGCAACTCTCCTCATGGTCATCCGCAGAGGAAGATAGTGGTTATGCAGTTCAAGGCCTGCCCCTCTTCATGCAAAACACAGGTATGGATTGGATAAAAAGAGATGAGGTCATCATCTTGACTTTGGGCACCTCCTCTTACACTTTTTGGCACCCCCTCTTTTGATGCCCTGCATCTCTTTGTGTTCACTTGCTATTCTACTTTTTTAAGAATAACATAGAATTATTACTTCCTACTACAAGAGGAACACACGCTCCAACACCTTGATCAATCCACTCTGCTATTTTCCCTCACACCTACTCTACTGTTCCCTCTCTGAGGAAACTACAGGTACTATCCAACTCCTCATCTCCCTCCTGGTTGACCTGTCACCTCTTCTGAATCTCCTGACTGGCTGGCAGATGGGCATCTTGTTCTACCCCTTCTCTCAGATGGTGGCAGTTATTGGCCATGGAGGAAGAGGTGTGCCTGTGGCACGAAGAGAGCTAATCCTGAGGTGGAAAGGCCAGTGTGGGCAGGACCAGCATGATGCAGGAAATGAGGCAAGTCCCAGGAGAGGCAGTCTGCAGAAGCACCCTTCCAGGTACCTCTAAGTCTCACCTCTATTTTCCTCAGAAGAGTCTGGTAGCACCTTTTCCGACTGACCAATTTTATTAAAGGGCATGAACTTTCATGAACTGCAGCTCCCTTGCTCAGATGCTGTCCTCCTAAGTTGCAGGGCAAATAAAAGTGTCAGCCTCAGAAGCACTTATAGTGGAGAAAACATGTTTTTTGCAAATGCTAATGAAGAGAGCTTACGAAACCTCACACCCTTTAATGTATTGTCTTAATCCACAGAAGATGCTAGCAGACTCCTCCTACAATCCCTATTTTCCTCCTGCCCTTCGCCAATTTAACATGCCAAACTTCCTTGGCCACACCCTCGTCACCATGCTGGGTTCTGGCTCTCCAATACCTGAGGCTGAGTGAGGTGAGAGTTGGGACTCCATGGACATTCCCCCACTTCAATATCAGCAGAGTTTAAATCACTGGAAACTCCTAGAAGCAAACGGACAGAATCAGTTTGGGGAAAGGACTATTTACTACCCCATGTTTCCTTTTGTCTTTACTGCAGCCCATCACCTCCACCTGCACCATTATTCCACCTCCTCTTCCTCCTTCCTCGGGCCTCGACTTCCACTTCCACATCTGGTGTCCCCTTTTCCCCACCACCCAATTCGTCCCTTATTTCTCCCTGTGATCACTCACCTGCCTCCTTACGATTCCGGATTTTCATGCGCACTCGGTTCCCCGCCTGCCGGAAGACACTCCCAACCTCACCATGGGTCAGCCGGGCTAAGAGACCGGTGTCTTCCTGATGAGAGGGGCTCTCTTTGTGATGGGGTCCCAGGGAACTGGCTGAGAGGAGAGAATAGATGGATCAGTAAATGAGGATGGCAACTGTTCTGGATCGTGTAACCCTGACTGGAGCATGTAGATCTGTATGTTAGAATGTTTGGCATTTATTGGGTTAAGTGCTGTCTCCTTAAGAGATGGCTTATGGGTAATGTAGTTTTAGCTAGTCAGCAATCCCATGTTATCAGATCTGTGGGAGGAGCCACTAAAGTTCATCACAGGATATCCTGGCCATGTGCCAGTTTGGAATGCCTTTGTCTGAGTTAAGCATGGAACCACCGGAGGACTCAGATGGCCTCATTCCACATTAGAAGTTGGTGTGGAGGAAGTATTAATTTCTTACCTATAAGAATGAATAGATGTGTATTATCCAGAAGCAATAACCATAACTGCAAGTATTTCTGAATTAAATATCTGTTTTATAATCATTCTTATTGAGTTTATCTGTCTGATCTGGGTTTGCAAAGCAACTTAACTCTGGATCAGAACAGCAACCACCCAGATGTTTTGTTTCCAAATGTCAATAAATGTCACACATTAATTGGAGGATGATCAAGAGGGAACTAGATGTTAACATTTATCTACAACGCTTTTAGTCGTGTTTTTTTTCTTTTGTATTTTTAAACAACAAATACTGAAGATTTGGGCCCTTATCCCAGACATTTAAAGTCTTACAATGTTAAAACTGTTTAATGTACTTATAGACAACTTAATATTTTCTAGGATTAATTTCTAATCAAAGATACACTGAGCACTGACTGTACAATCATGCTAATTCCTCTGGCCACTTAGAGATAAGGAATTTCTTTTAAAGCAATTAATACATTAAAAAAAACAGAAATTAGGGAAGATGAAGGAAAACCTTGCTAAATTTTTTAAAACAGTCGACCATTTCAGATCTGGAATACTACTGTAGTCAATTCAATGATACTTTTATTCATTTGTATAGATGTACTGCTGCTGCTGTGTGTGTTCCTATATCACATGACAATGCAGAGTTCTATCCCATCGCTTGAAAAGAATAAACATATTTGCAAAGTGAGGATCTGGTGAGAACTTTCTTCATGAAACTGTATGACCTGAGTTTGCTAGATTGAAAGCATGGAAGGAAATTCCCTGCAGAAATTTCTTGAGATGCAGGAATGTTATCAGATTCTGAAACAAGCAGCTCAGATCTAGCCAGGGGAATCTAAATACAGGTAACCCGTGGTGGCTTACAAACATTCATTTCCTGACTGAAAAAAGTGACTTACAACTGTTTTTCATACAACTGTTGCAGTATCCCCATGGTCACATGATCAAAACTCAGATGCTTGGCAACTGGCATGTCTTTATGATAGTTACAGTGTCCTGAGGTCATGTGATCCCCTTGATTGACAAGCAAAGTCAACGGGGAAACCACATTCACTTAATAACTGGGATACTAATTTAACAACTTCAGTGATTCAATTAACAGTGGCAAGAAAGGTTATAAAATGGGGCAAAACTCACTTAACAACTGTTTTGCCTGTTATCTAAGTAATTTGGTCTGGTTTATGTAAACAAGTTAATTTTGTTTGGCTTCTCCCTGAGCAGTACTATGCTGGGTTCTGATATTTAGCCTACACCCCAGCTCTAGGCAATGTGAGCATCACATCTCCTACACCTCTTCTACTAATTGTAAACTGCAATCTGGAGTAAAAAGCACCTTTATGAGGCTGCAAAATTGCTTTCAGTCCCCTTCTAATTAATTGCGGATTCAGGGGTGGGAACAAGGAATAAGTAGGAGTCATGTCAGCAGATGTACATTATCTGTACATTTGCAGGTTATGCTTTGTGTTTTTGCTTTTGCTTTAAATCAGCCTGCACAGACCAAGATGCTCCTCAATCCATCTATTTGGGATCCTGGCCTAATCCCATGTTGCCCTGTTCCTACGCTCAGATATAATTTCACAAGTATTCTCTGCCCTGACAACATCTCACTGCTATCTTGACATTCTGCTTTCCGTGGTCAATAAAAAGACTAAATAATGCCACTATGGCCTGTGGTTTTTTTTTAAAAAAAAACAAACACCAAAACCTTCCTTCCAGATATATTGAAAACAACAGCTATTGAAAGGGGAATAAGTATACCTAAAATGTAATTCCTTGTACCATATAATGAGGGAATTAGGTACCTGCATACGTGTCAAAATTTACCTGCCTGAACCTGAATATTTAACTTCACTAGGGCATTAGATGGGAGAATTCCACATCCACATATTGCTGCTTAAATTTGCTGACAAGATCCCCTTAATTTATATATTTTCACGCACTCTCCTTAGCTCACAGTAGCCTCGGAACATGAGATCCTCCAGAGCTGTGTAAGAAGTTTTATATCCAAATATATTTTATTCTTATACTGTTCCCATCTTCCCTTAAAACATTAACAGAATCCACAACAGTCTGAGAATCAGAGTCTCCCCTAGATAATTGACAGTCAAGCTGAAACTAAATTAATCAAGTAAAAATAGCAGAGGGAAAATCCCTTACCCAAACTTCCTCAAACTCCCAAATAATTTACCCAGAGCTAATCAAAGGATAAGGTCTAGAAACACTAATAGAATTAATTAAGTCTCCCAGTGGAACGGCATGTTCACAAACATACACAAACACACACGCCCCTCAGCTCTAACCCTAAAATCAGCACATAGACACTTCCACATCCTGGACTAGCTCCTCTTATAAAAGTCTGCCACTGTACCCCATTTCTCTGCAGTTGCTTTTAGGAATAAGTATTTCCTCATAGATGTCTGGATCTCATTTTTATTTATTCTTGCGCAACCCCGTTTCAAGTTGGACCTCCAAATTATTCTTCTGACAGTGATGGTGGTGCTTCCTGTAACCCATTTGTCTAGAACGTTCCTAAGCCTTACTGCAAAAAAAGGAATTATGGTTGAATTGAACCTACAATTTATAAAATAAGGTTGGCTTCATGATCAAAAGATAAGAAGAAAAATTTGCAGCCCACCAGTTTCCCAAGAGATTTAAGGATTGCTCCAGATGAGGCTTTTTTTTCTTCTCATTTATGTTTTTTTTAAACAAAAGATTTATATTGTCATGTCCTCCTTTTTGCAAAAGCTCCACCTTTTCTCATTTGCATCATTTTTCTTGCAGAATTCCTTACTATCTTTTGATCAATAACCTTAAGAGGTCTCCACCTGAAAATCTGTCTAGCCTTACCTGGAAAACAAATGCCTAGCCCTCTTGCAGAAACACTGTCGTTCCTCAGGTGGGACCCTCAAACAACTTTATACTTTGCCCCCTACAACATGCACCAGGGTGAAAAGACAGCAAGCTGCAGAAACTGATTTGTTGATTCACCTGAATCTCAGAATCTACCAGCCAAAAGCAAAGGTAAAAAAAAAAAATCCGAAATGAAACACTTAAAAGAGAATGTGAGGCATGCGTGAGAGGGAGAGGCAATCAGGTGCACTTGCATTCTTACTTATTTTCAAATTCAGAACTAAGTTCAATTTTTTAAAAGTAAAAAAATCAGTTCCAGGTTTTCTTCTTTTGGGCACTTATTTGGGGCTTTGCAGTGGGGTAAAAGTATACCTATTGCCGATATTTGGCCAATTGTCCAGCAATATGCCCCACATTCCAATGAATGTTCTTTTCTGCTACTCATTTACAGCTCAATACCGTCTGATCTTACAAAAGATCTTCACCTTCCTAACATCTTCAGTGCATCCGAACTTTCAAAACAAGCTGAATGATTTCTATGCTAATAAAATGATTTGCCTTTCTGATCATTGATAGTAAACAACCCCACAAGGATTTCTGAACAATATGCAGCTACTGGGAAACTTGTAAGAGTCCGCTTGAACCTCTCCCTCCTCCTTCAGTTTTAGTCTTAAGTCAGCGGGACTCCCTTCTGGGGAAAGAGAAAATAGCCCTCCTCAATTTACTTATCTATTATCCCTTTCTTTCTCTCCCTCTCCCCAAATCAACTACAAACAAAATGGTAGGCAGTGGATATTTACGTTTAAAGTCCTGGATGTGGCGTAGGACGGTCTGAACTTGCTCAAACATTTTCAGGTAGAGAGAGAGTGCCGAAACAATCAGGGAGGAAGTTAAAACAGAGAGCAGGGGGTCGTCTCTCCCAGCTACTCCTGTTCTGCTCTCTGTTCTTCTCTGACCCCCTCTCAGGAATTTTTCCCTTTGCCTGATAAACCAAGGACTTTCAGGGGAGGGAACGGAGTGGCTGACGCTTAACCTGTTCAGAACCAGGAGGAACAAGTTGCTATGTGCGTGTGGGTGTGTATGTTTAAAAGACAGTGCTTGGTTATTTTACTCTCACATGGAAACATAATTAAGGCTTGTAATTCTTTAAACACAATGTGAGAGACAGGTGTTTTCTCAAATATCAGAAATCAATTGCACTTGCTTTCCCATTCTATTATTCAATCAAAAAAACCAAGAAGATTGTTTACAAAATTACACTGACTTCGCCCTTGTTTCACCACTATGCTGGATTGTTTCTTAGGATTCTTTTAATTCTCTTTCCCGCCTTCAATATATGCACACATAAGATTTAGAGAAATGTACATTTTACCATGCCACGAAGAAAGGAAATAGATTTCCCCAACTTAAACTCAAAAATCCATGTGATACTTCAAAATTAATATATTTATTACTGCACGTCCTCATGAACTTGAATCCTATAATCATACATGTGCAATTTTTAAAATGTCACATGACTGGTGTTTTTGTAGCAACTTACTATTCTTCTTGAAACTGAACAATGACTAGTATAGATACATTGAAAGATGTCAGCTGGAGATGCTGGATGTGACAAAGATTGGCAACCTTAGTTTTTTTTTTTTAAGGTATTATTCTGAAAATGAAAAATATGACATGGCATTTTTGATTGCTTTATGCAAACCTGTGGAGGTTCTGCAGAACTATGCAATGGGAATAATATAATAATCATACCAAATTCTGAATCAAAAGCCCTCTTTTACTTAAATACAGAATTTAACAAGGTGAAATCTATCACCAGAATATTTTCCCTCACCCAAAGAGAGTCTTTGTGTTTTGAAGATTATGGTCTTTCCAGCCTCTAATTTGTCCTCAACAACTTTATTGCTTAACTAATTTCAGCTTTTCTGATATCAAGATGGTTGCATTTTTCCTTACTTCTGTTTTCCTCTGAACTAGCAGCCCCTCCCCCTATATTTTAAAGTAAAAGATTCTCGCTTATTTGGGGAAAATGTGTGTGTTAAATCATTTTTTGCCTCAGCATGCCAGATATAATCTGATACCTTCAACCTATTAGTAAGAAATACATTCAATGTACAAAGTCTTCACAATTTTAAAATAGATCTGATGACCACATTTGACCTAATTCCTTTTCTTCCTCTATTCTTTGCTTTTTGTATTATCTGTGCTTTTTTGGGATTCCAGATAACCCAGAAACTCGGACTCTTTTGTAACATTACCTAATGTATGTGGAGATTCTCAGTCATCCAGATCATGGATGTCCCAAAGGTGCTTTTTCAAGAGGCAACTGGACCTTCTTGTTTTTCTTTGAACACATTTTGCTTCAGCTCTGACTGGATGGTGGACTGGACCCCCACCATCCAGTTAGAGCTGAAGAAGCTTCTTGGATGAGAAGCAAAACGTCTTCAGATAAAAACAAGAAAGTCCAGTTGCCTCTTAAAAAAGCGCCTTTGGGATTACCTAATGTAAGAATTGTGCAATTGTCTATTTTGTATTGTCTTTAAGTGCCAGCTCGTTTGTTTTAATTTCTAAGGCAGTTGCATCAGCGACAGCAATGAGCTACATACAAAGGTATGTTTTGCAAATATTTGGAACCGATTCAAAGAGCAGGAGTACAACATTTGGAATTTTGGCAGGACCCGGGTGCAGACTATTCACAATATTTTCCATCCTCCTTACCAGCTCTTTCGGCTACAACTCCATCGGTTGTTAGTGCAATGCTACATCCATGCTGTTCTTTCGGACCATCCACATTTATGGGTTCCCCAGCCCCTCCTGCTGGGCGAGGCCTCCTCAGCCTCTGGGAACAACGAGCAGGACACACAAGTACATTTCGAGGTTCAGGACCCACAAAACTGGTCACAGTCAAAGTGTCACCTGGGGCACCTCCCCAAGGGTTAGAAAGATCCTGAGGACCACTTTTATTATGAGTGGAGTTGGGCAAGAAATGTTCTCGTCTAACCGAGCAGTTTTCCTGAGGATGCCTATGGGAGTGGTGACCTGTAAGAACAAGAAGGGCAAAGGGAAAATTCCATTAGGGGGATCGCCAACTGCAGAACCAAATGACATAACTAATACTCTCAGCAGCGATTGAAGCGTCTGGCCACACCTCAACCTTAGTATACTTTATATCTGTTTTTTATGTCTCCCAGTTCAGGTTCTGATTCTTCAACCCAGTATGGTCTACTGCTTAAATCACTGGATTGAGACTATGACAAGTCAGGTTCAAATTTCCACTCAGTCATGAAGCCCACTGAGTGACTATGGACAAGCCTAACTTACTCCATGTGACTGAGGTGAAGATAAAACTGGAAGAGGGGGTATTATGTGTGTCCTCTGAAGTGCTGGAGGAACAGTGGAATACAAACACAGCAAATCACTAAAAGTTTCACTTTTTGAGTCAATACTTGACTCAAGTGAGAGGGTACGATTATAAATCAGTTTGATAGATCTTTGCAAATTAAAACCACCCCTCAAAATAGTATTTGCTAAACTTAGCTTTCAGTTTGAAAGAAACAGATTTTTTTCCTCCCATTAACTGGTGATATAAATTTGCACCAGCCAAATTGTGACAAAAATCTGCTTTATGCCACTAATATTCTGCCTTTCTTGAACAGAGCATAAGGTGAAATGTGTGTCTTCCATCTGGATGCTGTCTGGGATCCATTTCCATTTAGCGATGCTGCTGTCTTCTGCATATAAATATATTTGTTTTGTTGGTTTTATTTTGAATTCTATTTTTAACTTTTTTGGTTACATTGTGAGCTGCTCAGAGTCATTTTGACTCTGGCAGTGCCTAAACTGAATAAATTAAGTTATGTGAATATTTACTGGCCCCCAGATTGGGCAATCTTTTCTAGTCTCTAGTCTCAGAGTTAACAGTAAATTTTTACAGTATCTAGAAGCCAACACAAAATTGGATGCGGTAATCTGGATGAATTTTACACATAGCAGTTAACATTGACCACAGGCTGATTCAGTTCATGAAACTAAATCTATTCTTTCCTGAAGCTTACACATTTTCCTAGTTGTCCATTAGTGCAGCATTACATTTCCCAGGTCTGGCCAAACTATGATTATTAACTTTTATTTGTGGAAGCAAGCTAAAGGGGGCTGTTTTCTGTATAGAAAAATCAGTTTTCAAACAGAATAAATAACTATTACTGTTAACTTGTAATTCACTATAACAGAGTTTTGGTAACCACTATTCCCTGCAGCTGTCTTGGCAAGGATTTTCAGAAGTGGTTGCCCTTACCTACTTCCTAGGATTGAGAAGATGTTACTGGCCCAAAATCATCCAGCTGGCTTCTGGCCCAAAATCACCCAGCTGGCTTCATGCCCAAAGCAGAATTCATGGTTTTCAGGTTTTTAGCCTGGTGACTAAACACTACACTACATCAATCTGGTTCTCTAACCACATTTAAGGATCAGACAATCCCTTGAACTAAAGTTTAGATAGAAGCACCTACATCTGGTTTGCAGAGCTACAGCTGAAACAGCAGAACGATTCTGCTGTCCCAAAAAAAATGACATGGGTATATCCCTAAATTCTGCAGAAGTTAAGCTCATCTTGAAGAAGACCTTACTTTTTAATTCCAAATAGAAACTTCTGATTTCCTCCTTGTGATTTCAAAAGAGAAGAAAAATATGAATATCAGTGGAGTCTAACAGTTAGCTTTTGAAATGCGGAAAACCACGATTTGGTATTAAATAAGAATATAGGTAGTCCTCAACTTATAATCATTTGTTTTAGTGACCGGTCAAAGTTAAACAGCACTGAAATAAGTGACTTATGACTGTTTTTCACACTTACAACCATTGCAGCATCCCTGTAGTCATGTGATTTGGACGCTTGTCAACTAGCTCATATTTATGACGGTTGCAGTGTCCCGGGGTCCTGCAATCACGTTTTGTGATCTTCTGACAAGTAAAGTCAGTGGAGAAGCCAGATTCACTTTACAAAGGGTGTTATTAACTTAACAACTGCAGTGATTCACTTAAAAACTGTGCCATGATAGGTCATAAAATGGGGCAAAACTCTTGCTTAGAAATAGAAATGTTGGGCTCAGTTGAGGTAAATTGAGGACTACCTGTATATATATATATTTAAAGTGCTGATATATAAAAGCATTTAGTTAACTGTATACTAACATCATTATGTAATCCAGCCTTTTCTAATTTGGTGAACATCAGATGCAATACAGCTAGTCCTCATTTAGCAGCCTCAGTTGGGACTGGCAACTTAGTAACTCTAAGAGGAAAATCATGTGACCATAACTGGGCTTGTGACTTTAATTCATTTTGTTCATTAAGTGAAATAATACAGTCCCTAATTGAAGAATCATTTGACTGTGACTTACGCTTTTACTTCTACCTTCTGTATTAAGTCTGCTTGTTGCAAGCCGGTTGCAAATGGTGATCAGTGATTGAGGGATGTTGCGAAAGTCACACATATAGGGATTGGTTGCAATTTCCCCCCCAACATTGTTGTAACTTTGAATGGCTGGTGCACAAGGCAGTTGGTAAGTGAGAACTGCTTGTACAACTACCCAAATTTCCAGGTTGGGGAAACTGGCTAAACAATGAAGACAACCCCCTTTGAACAGGTGAAACAAAAACCATGCACACATATTCCAACAGACAGTTAAAATTCAAATGCTGATAGATTGCGAAATAGGTGGTCATGGAGAAGAATCAAAATCAGTATTGCACAATCTGAAATTTCATTTTTTTAAAAAATACAATTTTTGCCCAAAAGTTTTTCATTGCCTTCTACAATCTTCCCTCAAAAGAGTACCATAACTGGGCCACTGCCCCGTTTTCTCGGTTCTCAGAGTATCTTTTTCTCACTCCATGAAGACAGTACTATTTATTACAACTCACTTGTGGAATGAAGTGGCATGAGTGTCACAGGCAAGCCATTTACCTATTTTCAACATTTA